TGAGGGGGGGGGGGGGGGGGGGGGGGGAACTGCACATCTGGTTCTACTTGTGCCAGAGCTTCCATTGTGTGAATGAAAACATAAACCTGGGATGTAGTAAACTTCTACTATATTCTCGAACGCTGTGGCTCGTGTTTAACGTTTTAAAGTGACATCACCGGAGTTTTTTCTTTTCTTTAACTCAATAAAGATCAGTAAAAATGACAAACTAAGCAGCGTTTGGTGTTTTTTTTTCTGCTGCTGGGGGTGGGAAGAGGGGGGGCGGGGTGTTAAAAGTCATGTCAAGCTACAGCGAGAATGAGCTCTCCGGCAAACTCTCCATGTTTGAGGCCCCCCTCCGGTAATGACAGTGTTTCACCAAACAACCATAATTACACAGCTGGAAGTTTTTCTCACCATAAAGATCATTTTGTGGCTTCAGTCATGTGTTGCTGTCTGCTCGAGTGGAGACGTAACAGGACCCATCACCATGAAGCCAGGTGACCACTGACTGTCCTATAATGAAACTACATGTTTGTTCACTAATAGCCTATATGCCACGGTCATTAATGACGTATTTCCAGTAAAATTCCAGCCCCACTCCTCCCTTCCACTTCCTGGTTACTTCCATTGTTTTTAGCGTTAGCTCCTAGAATTAGTCCGTGAAACAGTCACTAAAGTTAAAGCACCTGTGATCTACTGGTATAAAACGTGAGTTCTGTTGTGTGCCGTTGTGTCCACTAACCAGTAGGTACGATCGAGCAGTTAGTTTTTATCCATTTTCCTTAGGATGAGGAGGAAAGGCGACAGCAATGATGGATCATAGCAATACAGGAACGACTTAGCTATAATATCTCACGCTCGCGTTTGTAATCGGCATTTCTAACCTGAGGATATTCAAGATCATCATATTCAAGATTCATCAGAAATGAGAAGACGGAGGTTACAAGAGGGGTTACAAAATGTACATTTATCCCCTTTTACTGCCAAGACGAGAGAGGAAAGACCACCTCCACACGACAGCTAGCAGGAAGCTAACACAGCAGCCGGTACAAAGGTAGGTGTGTGTGCATGTTTGTGTTATACAGAGTATGAAATGTTTTTATGCGACTTTGTCATGAGTTTTATGCAAAAGTAAAACCTTGTTAGTGTG